AAGCCGATTAGTGACGATGTTGCGTCGATATTGCGACAAGGCAGATCTACGGGGCTGGCATGGGCTGGCATGTGCCACCCTAAAATGCTCTCTTGCCACCCCTAGTCCCATCCTAGCTTTGCATATGACACTGTTGTTTATTAAAATAAGCTTTGTATCTTGTTCTATTTAATCTGAAACACCCCTAAAATAGTCAGTGATCACTGTCGGTCTCTCTCCGTTTTCATCATCACTGTTTATTTTAAAGCTCAGTGTTTAAACCCTTACCATGTAGCTGCAGCCCAGCCCATGCAGCAGTATATGAATGACTAACCTCGTATTGTGGATGGATTATCTCAGTTGTTCTCCTGGCTGAAGTTTGGTCTGTTTACAGCATCCTGCCATGCGACTGCATTTGTCTCTAACCATGAGGAACCCTCACGTTAACTTTTATCGAGAGGAAAAAAAGTTAGCGTTCATCCTCCAGCTTCACTGTTTATGTTATGCTAACATCTTTTATTTATTGTAGCCACTGAATTACTTGCTATTACTGTCATAAATTCAAACATCAAAGGATTAGACATAAATAACCACAAATTAATAATAAGTCAGCTTGCCGATGATACAACAGTCTTTCTAAAAAATAAAGAACAAATTCCATTGGCCTTAGATACAATAAAGATCTTTTCTGATGCTTCTGGACTACGGCTGAACCTGGACAAATGTGAACTCATGAGTATCCACAATTGTTCTCACTCTTCTTTGTACAATATACCTGTCAAAAATGAAATCAAATATCTTGGAATCTGGATAACTAAATGCATGGCTGATAGTGAAGAAAAGAATATTCAGAATACAACTGACAAATGCAAAAAAACTCTGAACCATTGGCTACAGAGAGATTTAACGTTGTTCGGCAGGATAATGTTGACCAAGGTTGAATCTTTGTCCAGATGAATCTGTCCAGCTTGTTCCCTAGCCATCCCACCAAGAATTATAAAAGACATCAATAAGGTGAATTTTAATTTCATATGGAAAAATAAACATCATTATGTTAGTAACAGGGACTTGATAAAAGATTATGAAGAGGGGGGTTTAAAAGCAATCGATTTTGAAATAATGAATGGCATTTTAAAGATTAATTGGCTCCGATCTTTCTTGAAAAATGATAATGAGATCTGGTGCTTGATACCATCTCTTATTTTCAACAAAGTTGGGGGGATCCAATTCCTTTTAGTGTGTGATTTTGAAATTTGTAAACTACCCATAAAACGTTCCAAATTTCATCAACAAGTTTTGTTAAATTGGAAATTAATGTTTAAACATAACTTTAGTCCCCACAACGTTCCACTGTGGAACAATAGGGTGATATTGAATCGGGGGAAATCTATGTTTGTGGAAGAATGGATGACAAAACAAATTTGGTCTGTGACACATATAATGGATGAAAATGGAGATATACTTGAATTAAACAGGCTTAATGAGAAATATGACATGAGTTGCTCATCCGAGCTCTATAAAAAGGTCTCACAGAATATCCCAACAGTCCTTGTAAATACGATAAAGAACAATTTTTCAAATATATCGACTCCAAATTTACATAAAATTAAATTAGATGGTCTTGACTTGGTTAATGAAAAATGCAATATTCAGTTTTTGAGGAGGTATTTGGTTAACACCTTATATCCAGGTAGGACAAAACATTCACTCAGCTTTAAAGATTATAACAAATCTGAGATCTCGTTGATCAGAACCAAATATTTAACATTTCCAATTCCATCTACCTACCTATGTATAGATAGGTAGGAGGATGTAGACATATATTTATATAAATAAGTTCTTCTTTTCCCTGAGTACTATTGTCACGTTTGTGTGGGAAGAAATGGTAATTTTCTAAGGTCATCACAAAAAATGTCCCATGTCGACCAACAACAAGGAGAAAAATTAAAGGTAAAATACAAACGTAAAATCTAACTGTAGTCAAAAGTGTCCAATTATATTTTGGACTCAGAGGGGTAACCCAACAAATCCTGAAAAATTAGGTTTGAATTTTGGTGACCAGTGTTTTCATCACACTGCAGGTTTCTGACACTTTGTGTGAATTTAAGCAACAAAAAACAAAACCAACTGAAGTTACACCCGTGTTTGTAACTGAAAAACCTGATGTGTAGTTTTGTGGATTTTATACTCACTGGGCTGCATAGTTATGTATTATAGGGGCTACAGTCAAACTGCAGCCTGTCCCGGCTGCCACAGGGTGACAGGTGGGGAAACAAGCGTTCACATTCACGCCTATGGACAGCTTACAATGTCCAGTGAACCCCACCCTCCTACCTGCATGTGTTTGGACTGTGGCGGAGAGCCAGAGTACTCGGAGAGAACACACTCATGTAGAGAACATCCACACAGAGAGACCCCACCCACATGGCGGCGTTAAGCTCGGGAACTTCTTGCTGTGAGGCAACAGGCATGCCACCATGCTACCCTTATTTAATAAAAATCATATAAATATGTTTTAAAGTGTCTCCTTTGGCAGATGTAACAGCTGAACACAGCCGCTGCATTCTGTCTACAACAGAAGTCTAATCTTCTCCCAGCTCTGTTCTAGGATGCCCTCTGGACCCAGTGGAGGTGGTGAGTGACAGGAGAACGGCGGCTAAGCTGTCATCCCTGATGGACAACATCTCCCACCCCATGCAGCAGACTGTGACAGCACTGAGCAGCTCCTTCAGTGGGAGACTGCGGCACCCACGGTGTGGGACGGAGAGATTTCGCAGGTCTTTCCTCCCCACTGCTGTCAGACTCCATAATAAAGACTTTAACTGATCAAGCACACACATCCATACATATGCAATAACACTAAGTGCAATAATCCTTTCTGTCATCGTTGTATTTTTACTCAGTTGTATATAGCATTCGTATTCTATTTTTATCTTATTGTATATTTTTATTCTATTTTATTCTACTGTATATAGTATATTATTTTATTCTATTCTGTACAGTTGTGTACTGTATTTATTCTTATTGTATTCTAATTTTTGCGTCATAACTTTTGCACTGTCCACTTCCTGCTGTGACAAAACAAATTTCCCACGTGTGGGACTAATAAAGGTTATCTTATCTTATCTTATCTGTGGACTTTGTAGCTGCTTTGCTTTCACTCTTCTGTCCAGTTCATCCCAAACCAGCTCGATGGGGTTTCAGTCTGGAGACTGTGCTGGACCTCCACGTTTACAACCTTACTGTCTCGTTCTTCGTTCCTGAGGTGGTTCTGCCACGGCTCGGACTTATGTTTGGATCATTATCTTGCTGTAGGATGAAGCCCTCACAGACTAGATGCACACCAGAGGGTCCTGCGGTAGCTGTTTTGGTTCAGGGAGCCCCTCACTCTGTACCAGTCACTGACCCTGCATCCAGCAAACAGCCCCAGACCATCACACTTCCTCCTCCGTGTTTGACAGTTGATGCCACTCACTGTGGAACCGTCCTTTCACCCACTCAACGGCGTACAAAGATCCTGTGTGATGAACTAAAGGACCTGCAGCTTGAAGTCTTCTCACAGCTGAAACTGGACTCACTACGACCACTATGAAGCTGCTTTCCTGTGAGCCGCCATCACACAGCTGTTCACTCTCAGGAACGTGTCCTCTGATTCGGTCGTGTCTTTGTCTGCAGACCTCTTCCTGTCAGTTTGTTTCTGAGCCTTTGGATGCTGAAGGAAACCTCAACTTTCTTTGCAGTTTCTCTTTAAGACATTTATAAGTGTTATGATGGTCTGTCCCGGCCATCTACAGCGTACATTGTTTCAATGTCTCCAAACAGAGTTTGTTTCCCCTGCGCTGGGAGCACACGCTGGGCTCTCCAAATCATTGATAAACAGTATCCCACGTTTTTGATTTTGAGTTCACAAATACTTCTTATAACAACCAACTACTCCTGAAACTTTGGAGGTTTTAGGTCTCTGTACAGTAAAGTTACAGGAGGATACAAATAATTATCAGGCAAAATGTCCTTGATTGTTCCAATAATCCCGTCCGATACCACGTGAGAACAATAAATGCATCATTTTCTGTTGCAACCCTCACACTCAAAGGTAATGTAACAACACTCATTTTTCACAACACTAAAACATCACTCCTTCCATGTCTAATGTCTGTGATGGGGGCGGAGTAAACTGGATCCTCACGCCGTGCCCAGTGAATGCTCGCGACACAGGGGAACACGTTCTGTCGGTGATACCTGCCTCGGTACAACACTGGTCACGTCACGGCTTATTCCCCGATTCAAATCACAGCCACAGTGTCCCAAAGTTGTTTGTTTTTAAACCGATTTTGCACAGACATTTTTTTGATGTATTGATATCAGTGTTGAATATTCTTACAGTGAAAATACCCCAACTATATGTAAAATAATGCCGGCCACTTGGTTATGGCGTTCCATGTACGCCCTGCCTGCTAGCATCGTGCACCCTGCTGTTATGTGCTGGATTGTCTCATCGTTACGCAGCCTGGGGTCTTGCCTGCTGTGATAGACCCCGGCCTCCATGGATCTGTGCTCAGAGCTCGTTCCTGTGCTGCTGTGATTAGTGCCTCTGTGCTCCTTTCAGTCCAGCCACAGAGAGGATCGATCGCTTCAAACGCACCATCAGAGCGGTTCAGGCGCCGCTCTGCGTTCGTTTCACGTTGAGTCTGAGCTGCTGCAGCTTTTAGAAGAACACACCTGACTCGACGACCTGGGCTCAGCGTGGAAAACCTGTCCACGCGTCTCTGCACTCAAAGACCTGGAATTATCATCAGACCCGGGTGGAGACGCAGCTCACCTGAGGGAATGCTGAGGCAAGAGCAGGCGAAGACCCCGATGAGCGCCGAGCAGCGGCGCGCACCGATGACCTGGAGCACCTGTGGCGGCTCGCGATGACCCCGCACCAGCCTGTAACCCCGCGACACAGATCAATCACCTTTACACCAAAGTGTTGACGATGACCTCTGACCTCCAGCAGACACAATGAGCAGGCGGACACAATCAGTGACTTCAATTTATTTTGCTCGTGTCATCATTAAAAACACAATTATTTTCAACAAGTTTGATTTTTAAACACGTGTCAAAGTGCAGCTCCAACACCTACGGAGGCCCATCACGGCCAAATATAAACTCCAGTCCATCCAGCCATTACTCTGCACCTTTACTGGCCCTGATGAGCTTCCGTACTGGCCTTTAAATCAAGTCCTGTGACACATCGAGTCCAAAATCTCTCGCTTCCTGTTCAAGTCTCTCTGTGATTGGACGGCGGGGGCATCGACCTGTTGTCAATCACAGCAGCGAGAATCAAACTGAGAGGATGCGTTCACCGCCAAGGAAACCCTGAACGCATCCTGAGGTCACACTGCACGTGCCTGGCTGTGAGGGGGCGGAGTCAGGACTCACGTTAGTAAGAACCCGCCAAGAGTTTGAATATTGCTAACCTACGATGCTACAGCGAGCTCGTGCTTGTTCTACTTGACATCACTTCCTGCAGCGGCTACGGGCTCACGCGTTAGGGTAACCGTAACGCAGAGTTATTTAGTGTACGAACGAGTTAACGATGAGGAAAGTGCAAAACGCACTCTACTACGGAAGACTTTAAATGCCTAAATCAAGAAAAAGCTTCAGTTTTGTCTGCAGACGCTTTTAATGTGTCAGTGTGATTTCAATCATCTGTACGTGTCTTTAGGACTCTCACAGCTGACAGCAAACATCGAATATCACGCCTGATTTAGTTCATTTGTTTTTAATGTGTCAGAATTAAAATATTTCTAGCACTTCCTGTTGCTGCAGGTTTCATTTCTCACTCTTTATAAAGTTTATTTGACATCTTAGTTCCTGAACTATCACTGAACACGCTCAAGGAACATGAAGTGAACCATCTACAAGTTATTTTCTAAACGGTGGCATTTTAAACCTTCCATATGGTAAGTATGGAATTCTAATGAATCTGTGGGAACGGATTAATTTAAGCATTAAACGTCCTCCGTACTTCCCGCAGCACCTCCAACTGAAACAAACTATGAGGAAAAACAAAGTGGCGACAGAAAGGTGAACTTTGACCTTTCGGTTAGTGTGTGACCCGGGAAGAAAAAAAGAAAAAGAAACGCCAGTGACGTGTGCACGTCGGCGGCTACGCTAACGTGAGACCGCGACACCGAGGGAGAAAACACCAAACCCTATTCCACAACCAAAGGAAACGTGGGAAAGAAACAGCGGGTCACGACGCGTGAGGGCGAGCGGGTCGGCAACGAAGAAGAACGCAGGAAGTCTACGCAGCAGTAGAAAAATACACATTACAAAAGGTGAGAGCGAGCGGGCAGCCATTTTGGCGATGAAGTTAGAGGAAAGTAAGTGCCCGTAAAGCTACGTCAGCAGGCATTGGTCGGACAAGTCGTCACAGACGGCATGACAGAAACGCCTCGCTGCTGCCTGCGAGGATTTCTCGCCGCTGCCGCTGACAGACATGGAAGGTTACGCTGCATCAAGCATCGACACCGGTGCTGGTGACAAATACACAACTTCATTATTTTCAACAAAACAGCAACAACTACTCGTCTTCCTCTGAAGAAGCTCCGCCTCTGTGCCGACGACTCCTCCCACCGTTACTACGACGCCACTTTGTCGTCCTTCTGCAAGAAAAACAGGAACAAACGCCAACGTTAGCACCGAGAGGCGACGGACTTTAAGGTCAGAAGGACGCGGCGGAACTCCAGCTCCTACTTCCTCAAGTCATGTGTTGGTCTGACAGGAGCCCTCTAACCCCGCCCCCTGAGCCTTCACTGTCTCGAAGTTAAAACACAATAACGTGACCTCACCCGGTACGCCGACAGGTCGGCGAACTCCCGGCCGGCCTGGTTTCCTCTGTATCCTCCCCTGTAGCCGCCACCGCCTCCCTGCGGTGGCCCAAAGGAGCCCCGGCTGGCCGGGCGACCCCGCCACCGCGATAACCTGTGCCGCCGCGGCCACGGTAGCCCTGGCGACCTCGGCTCTGACGCAGAGGGATGCCGAAGGTTTCAGCGTTCATCCGCCGCTCCTCCGCCCACGTTTGCCTCCGCTCCCTGCAAGAGAAACAAGCGGCGGTGAGCGAGAGACGCGGCACGCTACACACAGGAAGTGGTCGGGGCTATGGTTAAAGCGACTCACCTCGGGAACCCCGACCCTCCGGACCGCTCGCTCGTCTTCCTGCCGGACAGAAAACATTTCCATTGTTAGTGACCGCGCCCCCTTCAGTGTACAGAAGCCACGCCCACACTGACAGCACTCGTACCTCGTGTCATCGCAGGAGATGTTGTCGAAGAACGACTTGGACTTGTCGTAGTAGCAGTTGGGCCCGAGCGGGTCGCACTCGTCGTCGGCGTTGCTCTCGCTATTCTGAGTCTCCACGCCAGAGTCGCCTTTATCCTCGCCGTTGAGTGCCTTCTCGTCTGCGAGGCGAACAACAGAAACGGGACACGCTCAGACGAACGTTACGCTTAACGCTGCATTTCGGCCCACCGTCGGTGACCTCACCTCGGAGCTTCAGCTTGCTCTGGAACTCGCGCTCCAGCTCCTCCTTGTTGAACTGCGCGTTGGCGCTCTCGAAGTCAAAGTCCTTCTCGAACTTCATTGGGCCGTCCCGGCGCACATTGAAGCGTCCTCTGCCGCGGTGACCGCCTCCTCTGCCGCGTCTGTTAGACGGAGCACCCGCGGCAGCTGAAGAATAGAGGGAGGACGAGGAGGACATTAGTTACCGTGGTAACTAGAGGGGGAGACACGAGGACGTGAACTGAGGCACATCCACGATGACGGACGACCTCGCAGCACTTCGAGGTAATGTCACATGTTAGCAATCACACATGCAGGTAACAGGAAGTCAGGTGACACTCAACTGACTTCCAGTTACCTGATAGGACACCGTGAGGATGGACGTCACGCTCCGATTGGCTCATACTGTAAACACAGAGCGGTATGTGTGGTGCCGACGCCGCATCTACAGCCTCACCTCTCCTCGTGTCCACGCTCTCCTGCGAGTGCTGCGCCTTCTGGCTGCTCTGTCCTGAGGAGGCTGTGCGGCCATGGGCGGGGCTTCGGCGTCCCAGGCCAGGAGCCGGTGCAGTAGTGGTGGTGGCTGAGGGGGCGGCGCTGGCTGCCTGATCCAGGACCGGACTCTTCCTCAGAGGGTCCAGGTTACCTGGGCTGGTTCGACCTGCAGAACCGGGGAAAGGTCACAGTTAGTGCGGCGCTACTCGATCATCAATGATCACGCCGAGAGAAACTCATATCAGAGAAACTGAGCAGGGCGTGTAGGTGTTCCTCACTTCCTGCTTCAGCACTGCAGGAGGACAGGAAGTGACTCATACAACTCTTCAGCATCACACGGTGATGAAGCAGCGCAGGAATTTGTGTTGACCTTTGAAGTCATTTAACACAAAGTAAAGATTGCACAATAAAGCAAAAACATTAAAAGGCGAACTGCGATGGGTCCATGACACGATCACGTGAAACAAACATTTGCAGTAACAGTAAAGGCGAAATTCTCGCTGCGTCTCTGCTGCAATCGGGATTTCTTATAACAACTGGCGAGCAGACACAACGCGCTGCGAGCGGCAGCTTCAACATCGCAGCTGACTTTTAATCCTCTGGACCGCGTGGAGGTCATGTGGAGCAGGAAATGAAGGCCTTGATGGCTCAGTCACGCCAACGCCACAAACCACCCCTGCTCGCTTCCTGTGGCATGAGTTATGTGGCACAAGGGTCACAGACAGACCCTCAACTAGGGCTGGGCCATATTATACCGTTCACAGTAATACCGGTATAATGTTAGGCAACGATAGGAAAATGAAATATCGCGATAGAATGGGAGTAAAACACGCATGCGCAGTGGCTTTGTTTTCATACGCACATGGCCGATTGTTGAGTGAAACAAATGAACCAGAACTGGTTTGTAAAAACTAACCCAACTTCAGTGATGTGGAACTGGTTTGGTGTTTGTCCGTCAGATACACAACAAAGCACATTTTTTTGCAGAACATGCAAGCGGCCGTCGTTATTGTCGTATTTGTCGGACTAAGATGCTCTTAAATCTGGGAGTAATCTGGGTCCTAAACTCCGTATGCTTCAGGTCAAACAACACTGCAGCATCACTGAGAGTTAAAACCTGTCTAAATTCTTTCATCTTTAATAAAACGATCAGCATTGCTGCTTTACCAGGTGTAACTATAAAGTTTAACTTCCAGGCATCCATGAAAACAAAAGTTATTACATTTAACGGAGTTAGAAGTTAGCAGGAAGCTAGTGGAAGTTAGCTCGCTAGTTTCGCTAGTTACCTAAGCATGATATAGCATGTTCTGACTGAGAGATTTCTGAAAAAAATCAAACGTACAGCTCTGCTATCACTTCCAACATAAATGAAGACAGGAAACTAAACAGCAGTGACGTTTGTAGGGTTACTGAAGTTGGGCTAGCTGGTATATAATGATGTGCTACGTGATCGCTAGCGACACAGCTATGTTAGCATAACATAAACAGTGAAGCTGGAGGACGAACACTAACACTTTTCCACTTATAAAAGTTAACGTGAAGGTTCCTGATGGTTAGGGACAAATGCAATCGCATGGCAGGATGCTGTAAACGGACCAATCTTCAGTCAGGAGAACAACTGAGATAATCCATCCACAATACGAGGTTAGTCATTAATACACTGCAACAACATGGGAATAGAGCAGCTGCCAGAGAATTCAACATTAATGAATCAATGGTACAGAAGTGGAGGAAGCAAGAAGAATGAGTTTAATAAAGTTTGATTTATCTGACTGCTTTGTTTCACTTAATGTGCCTTATAATCCCGTGCACCTTATGGTCCGAAAAATACGTACTGCACACTGCAGTTTAATGTTGCAAAGCACCTCTTTTTAACTTCAGTGGATATTATACATGGTTATGCTCAGGATATGTCAGCCCATTTCTACTGGAAATGCCTTTTGGTTAAACTTTCAGCAAGGAATTTGCATTTGCACTGTTACATTTTTATAAAGCTTTAATGTACATAAAAACCAGCTTCTTGTTTAAGTGAAAATAAATGGAAGGTTGTCTTTTTGTGCTAGTAATGTTGTGGAGTTGTATTTTGTCTCGCATCAATTATATCGTCAGTTATATCGTTATCGCAAATTTTCAAATATATATCGTGATAAATATTTTTGGCCATATCGCCCTGATCTACCCTCAACCCTTGGATTTCATGCCCGGCGAGAACCCCACCCCCCCTGCTTACCTGCAGCACCAAGCTGCGGCGACACCAACGGGCTGCTGTTGAACTGGCTGTAGGCGGGGACCGGAGCTCGGCTGAAGAGGCCGTAGGAACCGGCTGACTGGAATGGGGTTGGCGCCGTGGCGGACGAGGAGCTGGAGCTCATAGATGACTGCAGGAGGAGGAAGAAAGGTTAAAGGTCACATCAGCTCCTCGTTTCATTTCTCGCAGAAAACTGAAACAGGAAGCCTAATTTGTCCCTTTCACAGTAAAGGTCCTGTGATAGCAGAGGGGTCAGATTAAAATAAAGCTCTCTCACACATAGCTCAGCTTACAGGAAGTGGCGGAAATAATATTTCAACATAAGATAGACTGGAAGTGGATCGGTCAGGACCCTCAGGTCAGAGGGGCCAAGTCCAATCAGACAGCCCACAGGCCAAACACGACCTTGCCTCCTCAGGACGGGCGTACCTGGACGATGGCAGGGTCCTGGGGCAGCGAGCAGGTGGGTTTGGGTGGCTCGCACACGGTCAGGTCCTTGATGTCGCTGCCTCTGAAGATGATGTACTCAAACGTGTCATCCCGAGGCGGAATTGGCCGGTCGGTGGGCCGGTCTTCAGTGCCGAACGAACGAACTGTCAGAGGAGGAAACAAAGTGCTGCTAGAATCACAGGTCAAAGGGGAAACAGGGTTCAAACCACCCCTCTTAAATTCACCCTAATGGAGCACCAAATGCTAATTAGAGCAGAACAGTAGTCTAGGTGATGCCCCTACTACAGAGAGGAGAGCATTGGGTGACCTAGTTATTGATCGTCAGGCACCTAATGGCGGTCAGAGGAGCTGTGGTCTGAGCTGGGAGGAGACCGGACACAACTCCTCTCAGATCACCCGGAATACCTGCAGAGGGCTCTGGGAAATCTAAGGAAACACATATACATACAGCCCTCACTCTGGTGTGTGTTGTTTTGGTTTTTTTTGTTCCTGCTCTGTCACAGGTCACGTGACACCGTGCTTCACTCGCACAACATAACGCTTGGACATAGCACCACAAAACCACGCGATCCACTATACTACTTGTCCCGGCTCCGCCTGCACCGGTCTGTGACGTGCACTCAGTGACGTCAGAGAGTGCGGCGAGCAGGTGAGGCTGACCGGAAACGAGCATGGTGTCGGCTTCCTCTACTGGCTAGCGTTAGCCGGTTAGGTGAATCACCTGTTACTCTATCTGCGCACAGAGAGCTGGTGTGAGCCGTCACAGCAGTTTAGCCTCCCTTTATCCGCTTGAACCCGAATAAGTCGGTGCAGTTTCATGCTAGCTCGGCAGAACACGCTTTTTGTGACGAATGTTAGCATGATAGTGTTAGCCAATGGGTTTAGTTTAGCGTGCTAAGCTCGGCTAAAACTGCTAATCACCGTTGTTTACGCCCGCGCAGCCGCAACTCAGCAACACAAACAAAGCTTAAACCGAGCAAGAGCATAGCCGCGAGCCCTCCACTCACGCGGCAGTGCTACCTTTAGCCAGCGCCACTGTCGAGTTCTCGGTGTCGATGGTGTAGAGGATGCCTTCGTAGCGGATCTCGGCCTTGGAGATCAGGCTGATCTTGCTGCCGAGGTAGGGGGTCCCGCCGCTCATGGTGCTGTCCGTGACTGGGAGCTTCTGGCAGAGAAACGGACAGGCGCCTTGTGTGAAGTACACGCGAAACAGAAACGATCCTTCGGGGGGTCTGTGTGTGTTGACTCTACTGCGCTCCGCGGCTACAACATGGCTACCTGCTCCTCCATCTGAGGCTCTGAGCGCGGGGGCTAACGATACTACCCAGCATCGCGATATTTCACGGCTTCGTCAGCTGTAGATCTGAGGATGATAGAAGAGACGGCAGCTGCTGGCCCTCGTATGGAACAATAGAACTACTCTACCATAGCACCATACCAAACAACACGTTTAATTAAAGGGTCAGTTTTGTTTTCTTGATTCTTTATTAATATTCTTTTATTTATTCACCATCCAATGTTTGTCTGAAGCCTGGTCAGTTTCCACCTTCTCCTGGGAGCTCTTCCCAGGTCAGATGTCTTTAACCTCTAGGAAATATCCTCCCGAACTATCTCAGCTGCCTCCGAAGCTCCTCGCCCACCTCTAAAAAACGGAAGCTTTAGAGCTGGAAGCAGGAAGGACCGTGTGGCTCTGTTGAAGTGGTGGATTGTGACAGTTCACAGATGTAAACATGTGTGGAATAAAATCAGCAGGATTTATTGACCAGATTATTGAGAAATCTGATTGATAGATAGAATCTGATCAGGTTTCTCCTGGATCCTTTTGTTTTCTTTTACTCCACTTTTGTTTTTACGGGTTATATACGAAGCCTCTTTGTCCTCGTTGGCTGAATTGAACGGAACGGAACCTGTGTTCAAATAAAGTTTTGAGTGGCTGGACTCTGCCCTCACCTGCGAACTCACCTGTACACAAAGAGCTGCGGCTCTAATGGAAAATCTGCCTCTCCTATCTCTATGCTCGGAAGCGAGCCGGATCCTCGGCGCATGCGTACATTCTAAAATACGATTTGCACAACGGTCCAGCATCAAAGATGGCGGGAGCCTCCGACCCACTGGAGGACATGCTCTTCAATGAGGTGGACGAGAAGGCGGTGAGCGACCTGGTCGGTTCTCTGGAATCTCAGCTAGGCGACCGAAAGCCTCCCGCGCCTCCGTTTTCCGCCGGGAAACGAGACGCGGCTCCGTCGGCCGCGGGCCACTTCTCAGGGAAAGTGCGCGGAGCGGAGTCCGCGGAGCAGCCGCAACAAGGACATCCCGGAGCGGTGCTGACCCCGGAGCCCGCCGCAAGCGAGCCGCCGTCCGCCGCACCGCTGCCCTCGTCTACCTCCGCCGGGCCCGCGGGAGCCAGCCTGGCCGCGGTCGGACCGCCTCCGCCCGCCGGTTCTCCGGGACCGGGACCTCTCGGCGCTCCGGCCGCCGGCGCTAGCTTCCCCCGGGCTGCGGTCCCGGGTCCGAGCGCTGCGGAGGCGGTCAGGAGCTCTCCGCCCGGACTGCAGAGCGTGAACGGCGGTACCGGAGCCGCCAAGTTGGTGAGCTCTCCCGGTGTTCCTGCGACCGCCGGGGCCGGCCCCGCGACTTCACAGCCCGGCTTCCCCGTACCTCAGCACTCCGGGGGCTCCCCCTCCGCGGTCCTGCAGAGGCTCCCCAGCCCGGCGGCCCAGAACGGGCTCGACCCGCAGGGCGGCCCGCCGGCAGCCCCCGCCGCCTCCGCCTCTCAGGTCGTGAACCACAACAACCCTCTCATGCACGCCAAGGTGCTCGTGCCCAGCCAGCCCGCCACCGGAAGCTCGGTCATACTGACCGGCACCCCCTCCCCGGTCCAGGCCCCCATCAGCCACCCTCAGACCGGGACCAGCACGTCACCCTCCCCCGGGGCTAAACCCGCAGTCAACGGGGTGTCCCAGCCCGCCGTGGCCGTGGTGAGGCCGCCCGGACCGGCCGTGGTGGCCACCTCCATCCCGCAGCAGAGACCCGGGCTGGTGGCCGCCACCACCCGGGTCGCTACTTCGCAACCCTCGCTGGCTGTCCGGCCCCAGCAGCAGACCACCATCCAGCTGCCCCAGGGCTTCACCATGCCCCAAGGTGAGGACACACACACACACACACACACACACACACACACACACACACACACACACACACACACCAGGTGACCCACAGTCTCCCAGCTGATCTGTGAGCCGATCAGTGATCGATCGTCCCTTTGAGGAGGACCTGATTCTGTTCAGTAACTGATCTGCTGAGAGCTGGCAGCCTCTGATGGAAGGCTATCGATGAAGTGATCAGCTGCTGATCAGTTTATGACTGATTAATCGACTAATCTGAACGTTTCATAGTTGCAGCTTTGAGGTTTTTGTTGTGTGAATGTTAAATCAATAATCTGATCAGCAGGCAGATTGTCAGACTGAGGTTGGCTCTGTTTGAGTTCCTGCTCCTGCTGTGTGAGCCACAGCGACCACAGCAGTGATCAATAAAGGATTCTGATCAGTGGACTAGCTCGAGTCTCCAGCTCCTCGGGGTCACGTGACCATATTCAGCAGATTGTTGAGAACGATTGATTGTGTGGGTTGGTCAAAGGTGAGAGCTGAGACAGGAAGTGAAGAGTCAGGTGTTGCGTTCAGGCGTAGTAAGTGCTCAGTTTACAGTAAATGTCCTGACCTGCCCCCTCCTCCTCCCCCTGCAGGTATGGTTCTGGTCCGGACTGAGACGGGTCAGCTGGTCATGGTCCCCCAGCAGGTCCTCGCTCAGGCTCAGGCCAAGACGCAGCAGAGCCAGGCAGTGACGAGCATCACGCAGAGACCCGCCACGCCGACGGCCGGCACCACCATCCGGGTGAGCACTGCCCCCACGGTAAGCTCCGCCCACACAATGCAGGTGCGAGAGTTTTTTACTTCACATTTAATTTTTGTTTCACTGTCATACTCCCAATCTGATGAGCTTGACCAATCACAGGCAAGTTCTTCAGTAGGGGTGGGTTTCAATAATCAATAATCAATTCTAGCTTGAATGAGGCGATATCGATTCATTCAAATCCTGAATCGATTTTTAAATATATTGATTTTGCCCGAAACGCCAGAATCTCAGGTTAAACCTCACAACATTTCTACAACCACCAAACAGCTAAAACAGTAAATGTGAGCAGGAACACGATTCTGCACAGAGACGTAAACACAAAGGGCGGACCCCCCGACGCATCAGAATCAGTCAGCTGTCGGCGTTTAGCCCCAACGGCGTGCCCGTGTACGTGCCATCAGGTGAGAAAGCCGACAGCTCACAGATTCTGATGCGTCGGGGGGTCCGCCCTTTGTGTTTATGTCCTTTTTTGGGCTCGATTCTGAAGCGGTAGTTTTGTCTCTCCAACCAAACTTCACTGAACCAGCTGCAGATCCAAACTCCGCATCACATAAACATCGTCATGGACTCACTCTGACTTTGGATGTTTTGCTTCCACCACGAGAAAGTCACACTTCCTGCACAGCTCTCTCTCTGTACTTCAAGAACAGTTTCCCCTCTATAAATCTGTTTTCTGCATTATTGTGCACCAGTCACCCGTTGTTCACAGCGCTGTCGGCCGCTGTGCTTTATTTGATTTAATTTAACTGACCTCTGACAAGGAAGCGTAATTTCTGCTGTTCAATACTGAACAAATGTAAACTTTTTAAAATGCTGTGTCTCTAATCCTGTAACTTTGCTTCACTTCAGCAGCATCAGGTCATGTTTATATGTTGATTCATGGTTTTCTTCTGTGTTTGATCGACTGCAGAATATTTTAAGGTTGTCTGCTATAAAACGCCAGAACAGGAAAATCTCCTTCATGTGTTTGTGTGTTGCTCACTTACTTTGACACAAAGGCCTCTGCTGTGATGCTCACACCTCTGATAAAGTCTGACAAGCTGTAAAAATATGAATATGTGCTGATAAATGATCAGAATTATAATATTTCTGACTGTCTGAGACAAAATTTCCCTGATTCGAATCGATCAAATCGGGACCTCGTGAATCGGAATCGATACCCAGCCCTACTTTTCAGTTTATTTACTGCTGCAGCCAGAACAGAGGCCAAAGGAGGCCAAAGGAGGCCAAAGGAGGCCAAAGGAGGCCAAAGGAGGCCAAAGGAGGGGGAACAGCTAAGCTGTAGAGCCTCTTTACTTCACTGTGCAATACTTTTTGTTAACAGTCAGCGGTGCAATAGACTTCAATGCCCTTGTATTCTTATTCTATTTATTCTTTTTATCCCTTTCGTATATTTTCTTTACATATGTGTGTATAGATAATCTTCTGCTCACGTTCTGTAACTTCTGTCGGTGTTGCTATTGGAAACCGAATCTCCCAGAGGAACCCACCCGAGGGATTAATAAAGTTTATCTTATGTTAGAAGTCAAGCCCCTCCCCTTTTAAAGCTCTGGGGAGGGGCTTTAATGAATTAAAAAGGAAGTCCTTCTGTAGTGCTTGTTTGTGATTGGTGGAACTGATGTTACCTGATGGTGCGGTTTGTTTTTTCCCCTCCTCCCTGCTGTCGGCAGGCACCGGGCACCCCTCAGACCGTCCGCCTGGCCACACCTACTCAGACCAGAATGATTCAGCCTCCCTCCACGACTGCCGCAGTGCAGGTGTGTTTCCTGCTGGCAGCACGTCATGTGACACCTGATGGTTATTTTAAGCCTCTTTTCCACCAGTCTCTAACGCTCCATTAACAGTTAGTACCGCCTCAGCGTGCGTGGGGTTGTACCTGTTACTAATCAGGTTGTAGTAACAGGTACCCACAGGTACCACACGGCTGTGGGTCAAACTGTGTGGTCGCCAGTGTTGGGGAGTAACGGAATACATGTACCGCCGTTACGTATTTCAAAGACAAAATATGAGTAACTGTATTCCGTTACAGTTACCGTTTAAAAAGGTGGTATTCAGAATACAGTTACTTTGTTGAAATAAATGGATTACACTGCGGTACTTTCCTGTTTCATATTGTCGCGGGTCAGGACTGTTTGGGTTTGTTTGACAGCTACGTTCTGTTGTTCCAGGCGGCAGCGTTACGGTTGCCATGGTTACAAGGCGACGCTCTCTCTCTCTGCGACTGTGTGTTTCCTGGGTGAGAGAGCGCCTTTTCCTTGTTGTTGTTGTTGTGCTAAGCTAACAGGCAGAATGCTACAAGCATAGCTCTAAAGAATGTAGCATCATGGGCAGTGTAGTCCGTGCTGCAGGGAGAATGGACTGCCATACACGTTATGTGTCTGTGAGCGAGGAGGGAGAAAAAGGG